CGGTGTATATAATAGTCCGGCCACTCGGTGTATATAATAATCTGGCCACTCGGTGTATATAATAGTCCGGCCACTCGGTGTATATAATAATCCGGCCACTCGGGGTATATAATAATCCGGCCACTCAGTGTATATAATAATCCGGCCACTCAGTGTATATAATAACCATTGTTCCAAAGAATAGTGCCTAAGGGTCTGCAGCCAAAAATGGCATTGCTAACCGTAGCCGTGTGTTTTCTTTCCGGATTTCATTGGCTGTGTCAATAGACAGCCACGTAGAACGGCAGAAGGCTTCCACCGAGCAGCTTGGAGGTATTTTGTTGCGTAATAGCTTGTACACTTACCAGCCATTTGTCTTTAATTGGTTTGTAATCTTTTAGGCCCGTTCAGCGCACCTGCGACAGAACAGATGTGGTGGAACTACAAGGCCTGGCAATGCTTCTCCAGCCTTCAGATCTCCACCGGCTGTAGAGCCACAAAGCCAGCGGCATGATGTGCCAGGCTTTGGTTCTAGTTCTACAAAGGTTACCACGCAAAAGATGATGAAGCTTCCAGCGCATTGTCTAATTTAGTGGTTTTCTTTGAGCTATTAGACCTTCATGTTGTGGCAGCAATGGCGTAGACTAGGGATGCACCGATACCACTTTTTTTAAGACCGAGTACCGATACTTTTGATCAAGTACTCGCAGATACCAATTGCCGATACTTTTTCTTAAAGGGACAGGTCACATTTTTTTTCTAAAGCAATACAAACTAATGCTTTAAGGTCACTTTCTTAATATTATGATTCATGAGATGAAGAGGGAGCATGACGCCGGCTTCCCGGCCAATCAGAATGCCGGGCGCTGCGTCATTACACGGTGCCCGGCTTCCGGATTTGCTAGCTTCCTGACCAATCGGGAAAGCCGGGCAGCGCGTCATTGCACGCTACCCAGCTTCCTGATTGGCTCCATGCTCTCTCATCACAAGTGACGAGAGAGCATGGAGCCGTTTCCTGGCCAATCAGGAAACCGGGCAGAGTGTAATGATGCGCTGCCCGGCTTCCTGATACAGGAAGTACTCGTGCTAGGTATCGGAGCATTTGGGCGAGTACGAGTACTCACCCAAATACTCGGTATCGGCACTAGTATCGGTGCATCCCTAGCGTAGACTACAACAGAGGTCTAAGGTACTATGGCAGCCGCAGATGAGATTAAAAAAAAAATGGGACATTGTCACATATATAAGATGGGTTGTGCTACTATGAGAAGATATAGTCCTGATAGTTCTAGCCGACCTGTGACAATGAGACTGTCACAGGTCGGCTCAGTAGATCAGGAGGTGAGCGAACACATACCGGCGTTCGCTCACCTCTCGATCCTGTCACAGCTCTCTGCCGTGACAGTGGAGGGGCTGGATTCCCCCCGCTCCGATCCTCCAGCGCTGACTGGCGGAACGGACGGGGGAGGGGGCGGGTACAGCCTCTAGATAGGAGGAGGCAGCTGTCACTCACGCAGCTGGGCGGATGCCGGCACAATTGTCGGGATCCGCTTCAGCTGCGGCGTCTCAGTATACCGCGAGCTGTAGCTCCCTATATACTGAGCCTAGGGTGACGGGAGGACGCTAGTTTGTGTCCCCTCCCGTTACCCTAAAGAGAACTACGGGGGAAAGCCCTGACCCCATAGTTCTCCTTTAATATGTTGAACCCTCTAAATGTATTAATGTAATGCGGTCAGGCTGCAGATATACTACTAAATCTGCCTTTTATTTCCTAAGGGCTGATGCAAGGGTTAAAAAAAAAACCCGTGATCTGCCAGCATGTAGGAGAGTCGGACGCTTTTCTTAACACACCTCGACTCTCCTGCATCCCAACATGCCCTATTGAGCGCTGCCCTTTTCTTCGGGGTGTCCACGGAGAGTGTCGTAGAGGTGAGCTGCTGCTTGTTCGTGGGAGCAGCAGTCGCATTTTCCCATTGCTGCCGGAAAAGTATAGTTTAACCTTTGCTGCAGCCCTTAGCAGATTAAAAAAAGAGGCATACTCATTGCTATAAATGCGGCCTGACTGCATTGCAGTAATAAAATAAGAGGTTTCTATTGGGTTTTAACACAGAATTATAAAATACACCACCTGGGCCAAAAAAAAAGTCACCACTTGGATTTCGGTCAGTGTTATGATCTGTGGTTGCTTCAGTTGGTCAAGTCTAGGTTCAGCAACGTTATGTGCCCAAACAATGAGGTCAGCTGCCGCCCTGAATATACTGAATGACCAGGTTTTTCTATCCTTAATCCTCTAATCCTTAGGCAGCTCCAAACAAAGTTTTAAACAATCAGACTTCTGGAAACTCATATAGATATTTGGTAGATGTTGAAGGGTTACACCACTTGACAATTTCCTATACTCCTCAAGAACACTGTTGGTGAGTTCCTGGGTTTCCACACCTGCTGTGGCTATTATAACTCTACCTGGTGATTTCTTTCGTTATTACATACACTGCCAGGCCAAAAATAAAATTTAATAATCGGCTAACTAATCGATTTTGAAAATAATCGTTAGCTGCAGCTCTAAAGTTCACCACCTGGATTTCGGGCAAATTTATGATCTGGGGTTTGCTTCACATGATCAGGTCTAGGTTCAGCAACGTTATGTGCCCAAACAATGAGGTCGGCTGCCGACCTGAATATACTGAATGACCAGGTTTTCCTATCAATGGGATTTCCCCTTCCCCTGATGGCACATTGCCCATATTCCAAGATGACAATGCCTCAAACTGTGAAAGAGTGGTTCAGGGAGCATGAGACATCATTGTCACACATGGATTGGCCTCCACAGAGACCAGACCTTAACCCCATTGAGAATCTTTGGGATGTGCCGGAGAAGACTCTACGCCGTGGTCCGACTCTCCCATCATCACTACAAGATCTCGGTGAAAAATGAATGCAACTCTGAATGGAAATAAATGTTGTGACATTGTATAAGCTTACCGAAACGACTCCACGAGGAATGCGTGCCGAAATCAAAGCTTAAGGTGGTCCACCAAAATATTAGAATGTGTGACTTTTTTTGGCCAGGCCGTGTATATAATATTATTTGGTCAGGAGAGTCATCTCACTTGAACTGAGAGACAGAGCGGGAGCTGACCATGGAAATAGATAGAGAGGGTGGAGTGGGAGCTAATCATAGACCAATAGATAAAGAGACAGAGCAGGAGATGACCATGGCACAGTATGGAAAGAGATAGAGAGGGTGGAGTGGGAGCTAATCATAGACCAATAGATAAAGAGACAGAGCAGGAGATGACCATGGCACAGTATGGAAAGAGATAGAGAGGGTGGAGTGGGAGCTAATCATAGACCAATAGATAAAGAGACAGAGCAGGAGATGACCATGGCACAGTATGGAAAGAGATAGAGAGGGTGGAGTGGGAGCTAATCATAGACCAATAGGTAAAGAGACAGAGCAGGAGATGACCGTGGACCTTAAAGAGGAAGGAAGGAGGCAGTGATGCTGATTGTGAGCTAGACGGATAGGTGGAAGAGGCAGAATGGCAAGTCATTGTGTACCAGGAAGGCAGACAGAGGCAGAGTAGAAGCTGATCATTGCAGGGGATGGGCATGAGAGAGGAGTGACAATTATTATGGTCCATTGGAAGAGGAGGCAGAGCTGAAACTGACCATGAACCTAGGGAGGAAAGAGAGAGGAGACATAGACATATGAGCTGATGAGTCACATAGAGGGAAGAGCAGGGAGGAAGTGTGGGATCCTATAGTTGTCAGGTGATAGAAGAGGCTGATTATGGACCAGTAGGAGAAAGGTTGGAGTGGGTGCTGAGCTGTTCTGATTGATAGAAAGTAGAGAGGAGAGACAACCCGGGAGAGGTTGCAGAGCTGGAGCTAGTGGGTGGAAGAAGAGAGGGTAGGCCGAGGACCAGTAGGAAGGAGCTGGGCTTAGCACATACATACAGTATTTGTAAAGTGTCAGGTGACATTTCATATATGCTTGGGAGTTTGTCTCCACTGTAGCAGGAAGAGCACAATGGGGACAGAGTTCGGAGACTGCATACTGTAGAAAGGAAAGCATTGTGGATAATGGGAGTCACAGGATGCCAGAGCCACTGGAGCACAAAAGCCATGACAAGGCATTAGCCAAAAGGTACCAAGTTCACGTCAAGGCACGGTACGAGTCACATCATTCCAGAGGGGGTGATAAATAAAAGATGGAGCATGCACTTTTCTGCTACATTCAGTCTTGATGGTGGAATCCTTCAGCAGTGAAAGCGGGAGTTACAATATGTCTTCATAGCACACAGGAGGAAGGACTGAGACTCACATGTGCTGTGAGCAGCTGGTAAGGACCGACCGCTCAGATTTAAGTAGTAACTGGAAGCTGCAATCTCCTTAAAAATAATTTATTAAGTCACCAATTGTGTCAATTTGTCATTTTTCTGATTAACCTCGTTAGCACCTACAGGCAAACCCTATTCTTGGCCAATATGTGTATTATTTGATATGTGTCATCACAGCGGTGCGGGTTGGAGGTGAGTATTGGCACTGTTGCCGTGTACAACAAAGGGGTCAGCCAAAGGATTGCCCCATTGTCATGGTGATGGTGCTATTGGGACAGATGCATCAGCCACTGTGAAGCTGCCGTGGTGACAGATGGCTCTGTTATGTTGTCATGGTGACAGAGGGGAAAAACCCTATTGCCATAGTCATAGGAGGACTGCCTCTTCTGCACATTACAACAGAGCGTCTGAGCATGGCCTTACTGACCATGAAGGGGTTGTACCCATTGCAGTTAGGTTGGACTTGATGGACTAATGTCTTTATTCAACCTCAAATACTATGTAACTATGTAACTATGTATGTAGTGCCAAAGTAGGGATCAGGCATGGTGCCACTCCCGAAATTAATATTCTGGTATCTGGGTTTCCTTAAGAAGACATTGGACCTGTGTATGTGACTGGAGATGGAGACACGTCTGTCACACGCTCTTATCTATTATTTGCTTTGTTTTTTTCCAGGCCCATCATCTATCCGGCACACCCACTGATACTGAAGCCTGAAGACTGTGGCCACCAGTTTTGGAAAAAAACAGAATACGCACACTCACTCACACCGATAACTACTCTCCATCGGCCAGGAAGTAACATCAGCGAGTCAAGATGGGAGATTTGAACAGTTCAGTGGATTTTTACCCAAAGAACCAGCGGAGAGAGCAGAATCATGCCGGAGGCTTCGGCTGCACTTTACAAGAGCTGCGCTCTCTCATGGAGCTGCGAGGAGCAGAGGCCATTCAAAAAATACAAGATAGTTATGGTGACGTCCATGGCCTGTGTAGGAGACTTAAGACTTCCCCAACTGAAGGTAAAGTCCTCGCTTCAAATTCAGCCCGGTGTGGTGAACCATAATGTGTTCTCAGTGCAATGTGCGTAGAAGGGTAATATGTGGCTGGATGGTGATGCCATAAAAGAGAGCATAGGGCAAGCTCAGTCTTGGTGATAGTACGGGAGAGTGTGCGCAGAGTAGTCCCATGGTTAATCTGAGATTGGACTGCGATGTTCCATGAGCACAGTCAGGGCCGGATTTACCCTCTCTGCTGCCCCAAGGCCAGGTTCCTCAATGCGCCCCACTGTATGCAAGCTGCATACAAGTGATCTCGGTGACATTGCCGAGATCACGTGTACAAAACAAGCAGCGGCTTCCCCGCTCTACATTCAGCCCTGCTTGCTCAAAGCCGGACTATATGTAGAAAACAACTACCCGCCCCGTGCCTGGAACTACATGTCCTGAGCGCCGGGAGCTAGGAATGCCACACCCCTGCTGCCCCTCTAGTCCCTGCTGCCCCAAGGTTGGCCTTGTGGGAAATCCGGCCCAAAGCACAGTGCTTTCACATGGCTTATAGTACAAGTTGAAATGCCCCTTGGCTAGGATAGTCAACCTGGGACCTATGTTATTGGTAGCCAATGGAAGTGCATGACATCCTTGCTTGACTTCCTTGCTTGCTTGACTTTATATGTGTATAGATGTTGTTCAGGTGGGTTGAAAAAAACATGTCTTTGGTCATGGAGAAGCTTTCTCCTTGTTACCTGCAGCTTTGGATGGCAAAGACCACGTCATTCCGTCACTCTGATTGGGCCACATATAAGTAAAACAAATCTGTCCACTTAGTTTCGTGTTTATAACCAGCTTTAGTCTGCCAATGGATGGTGGTACCACATTAGACTATGACCGAGTGACCCTCACGCCGGTCCATAATGTGTTGAAAGATTTGGTCAGTTGTTGGCCGTAATTATCCATTACAATATGACCGGACAGTGATATCAGAAGGTGAGGGCACTGCCGTTATACAGCAGATGTAGAATGTTGTCCCGTGGTTGTATAGGGATGGTGGTAGGTGTCCTGTTGTTATATAGGGAGTGTTTTAGTCCCGAAGGAAATGCACATTAAAGGCATACACGTCATGCACATGTGTCTCTGTGAAGTCAACCAAAGGCCTTAAATCATGAGCCACCATTCTGCTTTTGAAGCTGGGCTGCATTGGCAAGAACATCTAACCAGTGACTGGACAATAGTAAACAATGGGCAGAAGGTCTATTGAGTTTGGTCTGCAGCAATGCAACGTCCCAACCGCTGATGTGTAAACTGCGCTCTTCAGCTCACTGCATTAATTTAAACCTTCCCCTAGAGCAGAGGAGGACAAATCAATATGGAGGTCAGGAGCCATTCTACCCAATCCAAGACAAAGTAAGATACTTTTAGGAACCAACTCTATTGATCACAGCTAGAGTAAACCTCAAAAATTGGGTGCCAGCTGTTATTTTTAGGGCGTATTAGGGCTACCTAGCTCCTGGGATTTGTCCAGCCCTCCCTTAAAGGAGAACTATGAGGTCAGTGTTTTTCCCCATAGTTCTCCTCAGGGTCATGGGAGGACACAAACTAGCGTCCTCCCGTCACCCTAGGCTCAGTATATAGGGAGCTACAGCTCGCGGTATACTGAGACGCCGCAGCCGGGACGGATCCCGACATTACTGTCTGCATCCACCCAGCTGCGTGACTGACAGCTGGCTCTGCCTATCTAGAGGCAGCTCTAGATAGGCAGAGGAGAGAAAGTGTGAGAGCCGGCGAGCGCTGCGGTAGGAGAGCGCTGTGAGTGGCCGGCGTCTCCTCCCACACCGCTCAGCCTTCTATCACACTCTGGCAGAGCGGTGTGGGGGCGGAGCTGTCACAGGAGGCTGAGCTCTCCTCCCCCGCACCGCTCACTCAGCCACCTGTGACAGCGTATCAGAGAGGAGAGCGGGTACAAGCAGTCATGTGTTCAGAGATCGCTGAGTGTTTGTAGATAACTGAGGACAGAGTATGGTTACTATATCCTCATTGATGAATGAATGGGAAGTGATCTACATCACATCTACATCACTTCCTGTTCATTCATGATCGTGGTTATAGTAAACAAACTCTGTCCTCATGTTATGAATGATCAGGAACACTCAGTATAGAGGATCCCTGTTCATTGATAACAGGGGCAGCGGAAAAAGAAATTGAGGGCTCTGTGTGTCTCTGAGGACTCTGTGTGTCTCTGCAGGCTCTGTGTGTCTCTGAGGGCTCTGTGTGTCTACATACAGCACAGTAATGACGTCACTGCTACTTTTTACAAGGTAACAACCGGGTTTGCAAAGGCATGTGGAGCACACAGTTTATATCCGTTGCAGCCGTCGAGGAATGTATGTAAATGAAAGTTACTGTGCCGGCTTTGATTATTGCTGGCGAACAGAGCAATGCGTCTTCTTGCGGTTAATCGCATGCCGTTCGTGTTTTATTTTACGCAAGCCCTCAGTGTGACAGCTCTTCATTGTACCCCCCCACCCCACCCGTACCTCCTGCCCTCGGGGAGGAACGGTAAGTACAGCACAAGACTAATAAGCCGAGCAGGTTTATTAGCAGAGAGAGAGAGAGAGAGCAGAGCTCAGCTAGAACGCCAATATCATAAATTTGTGTAATAAATGGCTCACAGAGAGAAATAAGACGTTTCAGCCCTCGGGGAGCGCCATCAAGGGATGTACAGCGCCGGTATAATTCAATGAAAAAATAAGACAAGCACAACTGATCGCGTCTCCAGTAACAATAAACATGAGAGCCGAGTTGTCTTTAATGTCAACAGGTCCCTAAAGTGTCATGAAAGCCGCGTCCTGATGAAGACGTCTCT